CTGATTACTTATGAGTTAATATCAGAACATAAAACTGCCAATTACACAAAGTAAGACTGTATATATTTTATTTGTAAATATAGTCAGTATTGCAACTTGGTTTTAAAGGTGAAAACTAAACAATGTAGTACTATCTAAAAAACTATCTTAAACTGATATGAGGAAATGAGGCTCTTGCTAAAGAGCAATTTATCTTCATTGTTCTAAGGGCAAAGAAGAAAGAATAAATTTACCTCAAAAAACCTTAAATCTGTAGAAAGATCTCTTTGATTCATATATTAGTATTGATGTTATAAATGAGAACAGGTTTGGTATAAATTTCATAAGTAATCTTCCTAACTTTGTCTATTTTTGGTATGCCTACCTGAGGGTTTCTTGCAGCACTCATATGTAAACTTATTGCATATCTATATTCAGGTGTATTTGTTTTAACATAAAAAGGTTCTTAGAATACAAGAAGTACGTCTATATGGCAAAGAGAGATGTGTACAAAATTCTTTTATGATTATCATACAAAGGTATGTAGTAAGGCCAGTTATCCTACTAGGTTGGATAATCAAGGTAGATGATTTGGGAATTATTCGAATTTATTTAGTTGCTTATTAATATAGTTTTCGCCAACTCTTTAGATTAACTCTCAGTAATATTACCGTAACTGGGAACCAGAGTTACCATATCTTAAAGAATTAATTACTTAACTGTAGAGCTGTTAGATGGAGACAATCTGTGCAGATTTAGACTCATCTTTATCACTCAAGATTCTGTTTTATAGATGGAGATTAGTCTAGGAAGGCTCAAATAGTTGCTTATTTTATTTATGACTACCAAGAGTGAGGTCAAGCAGAATAGAATCCTCTGAACATTATAATATTGTTAAGGTTTTTCCCTCATTGGTTGTGAATATCTAAAGGCTTGGAAAGTACTTTGATATTTATATTTCACCTTTGAGTATTTACAGACTACATCTATCTCTCATAAAAAGTTATGTACCGCTTTAACTGTAACTTGCATTGTCAGGTATTCTCCTGAAGCACGAGCACTCAGAGACTCTAAAAACCATCACACCATTTCCATAATTACTATTTGGCCAATTGGTAACTGCAATGTTTCTAATAGTAATTATCTGATCTCCTGAGTTATTAGACTAATGACCTAGTTCTCAAGTCAAAGTATGTTTACCCACATTGTCTCTCCTATTGATGAAACAATTAGTGTCATCTGTAGATTTTATCTTTAGGAGTAGTCCTAGATGCAACCTTTCTCTGTCTTGAACTTTAAACCTGTATAACTCCTGATCTAGCAACCAGATATCTGATTGATAAGTTCCTACTGTTTCACAGGAAGCCATTCAACCAGAATAAGGGACAATCACTGCGTCGTAAACACCTGGGTCTATGAAACCGGATTTCATTTGCTATTTGGTATTCTAGATAATTCTCGTTATCAGGTTGCATCTTCAGCCCCAGATGTAACACTCTACGAAGTCTATTGACTACTTCAGTTGTGTGCTTTGGAGTTCTAGACTTTTCTAATTGTTATACAGTGGATGTGAATGTGTTGGCTTTTCTTAAAAATTCTCTAACATTCAATATCACATCATTGTACGAAAACGTCCTACTACATATGGCTCATGCTAAGCATGTACCATCTTTAAAGTCTTGTATGTCTCCTCTCATTGATCCTGTGAACAGGATTCAGTTGGATGGACTGTACTAATATATAGACTATTATTCTGACACCTACAATTCTGTAGCATTATAGCCACATAATTCAACTAAGATAGCTATGTATGATGACATCTGGGCCCGGCGATGTGGACGGAGGTGGTTGTTGGAGACCAGAGATTCCCATTGTGAGTGGGATTACACTACTTGGGATGGTGCCTACATATCAGATTCTCGGGCTCCTAACATGATCTCTCTCTACTTAGACTTCATCTCAACTGCCTTTTTTGAGTACATATTAAACCAATTAAAAATTAAATTTAAAGGATAAAAATTTAAGTATCAAAAATTAACTCAATTAGAACCTGAGGAAGGCAGGGTGAAAAACCTTCTGCAATTACTTAGCTATGGTAGGAAAACCTTTTCCTTATAATCATTCCTGTGCGTGCCATAGAATTTTCACGTCATTGCGGTGGAAATCTGCCTCCATTTTCCTCCCTTTATTCATGCCTGTCGCAGGCACCCAGTTGTTGTCCACTTCGCAACAGCCATTGTGCCTCTTCTTTACTTGTCTCAATAAAACTGTTCATATATCATACCTGGAACCTCTAGGACCAGGAATCTACGAGAAAAGTTCTGCCCAAATTATTTGATTAATTCAGTCTTATTGAGGACTACAATAATCGCCAGGAATATCAAACAATATCTCATATCCCTTTGGTGAGCAATTGAACTGATGCTTTTCAAGTAAGTACTTTACCATGTACTCAGAGGAGGCAGGGTCTTCAGTATTCAGCTAATAGAGATCTGGTACAACCTTCATCACAGTATGCGGATAGTAAGATCTGCACGTGCTATGCGATGCCTGGATTCGTTTCAAGAGTATCCGGCTCCTACATTATTTATTCTTTCTAGCAGGATATATGTTATGGATCACTGCTAACTTACTTGGTCATTACAGGTCGGTGCAGCATCACTAATGTTGTTGAAGTTGAATTCACATCTGGCATAACTCGAAAATTTGCCCACTCTTTCTATTATTGTAGTTGCATCAGGAAATGAATCCGTGAACAAGTTCCAGTCTGACATTATCTTATGGGCTTGGATCTGAATAGTAAGTTCCATCCCGACAGCTGTATTTCATCAGCTGCTAGACAAATGTCGGCCTACACTATTAAATCCCAGCGTTGTCTTAGTTGGCAGCGGGACTAACACACTGGACTATGCCGTAGAGATGGCAGGCACCTACACTGTTAATCGGTTTTGTCTTTCTCATATTGGCCCTGGTGTTTTCAGTCTGGGGTAATCAACTTGTCTCTCAGAGTATTATATCTGATCAATGCTCAAGGTCAGGATTGACTGCTGTGATTCATGCCTAAGCTCAGGCGCGTGGCTTTTGACCACCCCTAGCTTTCTGCCACCTTGGCAACTTACCTAAAGACAAAACTATATCTAATTTATTGTCCTCATTCAAACATACATTCATCCATTTGTGCCTTTTCCAAAAGTCTAGATGTCCTTAAGGCATCCACTTCAGCTAATGCCTCTTTCGCCTTAGCTCATGACAATTTTTCTGCAATCAATGCCATGTCCTCCTCCATTACTATCCTTGTCTTATCAGCCTCCTCCACTGACCGTTTGTTTGCTTCCACATTTGCAAACATAGTTTTAGGATCTATGGCAACCATTTTCTTCTACCTCTTACTTTATAACTCCTCAATCTGTAGTTGAAGTCGTCGATTAGCAGCCTGCAGATTGGCCTGTTCACCAATCCTTTCACCAAGGACTTTGCCTGCCTTTTACAGGACAGCTCTCAGATACTTTGTCAATGGTACAAGCTGTTTTACAGACTTATGTATATCTTGTAGGTGCTTAGGAGTTTGAAGAAGTAGGTTATTACTACTTATTCATCCGGACCTACCTGTAAAAGGTGCTGGTAATGTATTTTGTACAGAGTTGGAAGGCTATGGAGCTGACTGTGCCTGCAGAAGAGGAATTTCATAGATTTGTGAAGAGTTGAGAGTTTTGCTGGGATTACAAGAAAATATACCTGCATTACACCATCGTGACCTCAGAGTATGAGGTGTGAATGTTTCTTCACATGCCTTCTGATAGACTTGTACAAACCATTATTTCTTGACAGTTGCAGCATCATCAAGATATGCAATATCTGCTATCTCCCTGAGGCAGCTTGACTTGAATAGTGTGAATGTCCCCAGGTCCAGTGGCTGTAACACATGACTGGAATGAGGTGGAAGATACAATTTATTGACATTCTTTTCCTTACAAATTCGCATAAACTTGATCTTAGCATAACTTCCGTGTCCATTCCTGACCAAGAAGTGGTGTGCAACATGGCCATCAGACTTTATCCTTGCTGTTTCTGGTAAGAAAAACCTCTCCTAACATGCATAGACCAATAGAATTAGAGGTCTACCCCTTTAATATTGTAGTTATTAGCCAATTGGGAATGTTTTCTGATAGAAACCATGAGGTTGGAACATCCTTGCCTTTAAACAACACTAAAGGAGGAATAAATGAGCCCAATCCACTAATTACTGCTAAAACTGAGACCTATTCTGGGTATTCTGGAGACTGAGTAGAGGTTTTCCGTTTCCTACTTTCTTTCTGACTACCATATTATTACAAACACCTCAAGTAATTCTGTGTTCGTCTATATTCCAAATATGGGTGTGTTGGGTATTATGGCAAGGGCAAATCTTATTGAATCATTCATAAAAGGCTGCAATATGGTCTGGCTTGATACAGCATGTGTGGGCTAACTTGATGGGTTTACCGATAATCATTGCGATTTCAGGATTTCACTTCATGATTGTTGGAATTTCTTTTCTTCCTTATGGCTTCTTGTCCCCTGCAAGTGACAACATGAAACATGCTATCCCTGTGGTATATGAGTGGGAGGGAGAATAGTCACAGGCCTCCTGCTCAAAAATTTAGTTACAGAGGGCAGTTTATTGCTCATGCGATAGGCATTGTAGATACTGATGTCTAAACTCTGCCGTAGGTGGTAGGCACAGCAGCTGTGGAGGGTTGTGTAAGAAATTCTGTATTCCTTGGCTGCTTTTATTTCAGAAATGCAATTTTCAATAGTATTTAATGCTAAATAAATCATTTCCTTCTGCGTATTCAGCCTATTGTGGTGATGAAACTGATAGTAGGTTATGGGTTTGGTGGTCAGTAGTGGTTGTCACATAGGCCAACAACTATGGGTGGATGAAAACCTACTAGGCAAGTTTAGGTGTAATAGGTCTCGGTGCCCCAAGTCAAGCTGTTGTACCGTTGCCATCCTCATCCGGCTCTAACAAATTCTCCTCCCCCGACCTGGTGTTTCTTAGCCTTATCCTCAGATCAGG